CGCCGATTCCACATGTGCTCAGCATCCAGCGCACGGCCCTCCTGCTCACAGCTGGCTGCGGCTAGCATCAGCTAACATACGTGCTAATGTGGCTATGCTAACACACACACACACACACATACGGGGGCAGAAAGAGCGAGAGAGCGAGAGACAGTGGTGTTGAATGAAAACATGAAATCTGAACACACACAAACACACACACACAAAACACTGGCTTTGATGCTTCATGAGGACACGCGAGGACATGTATGTGTGTCCTCATGAACCGTGTGTGTGTGTGTGTGTGTGTGTGTGTTGTGGCGGATGCGTGCGGGCGGTCTGCTCTTACCTTGGTGGTGACAATGCAGAGGCAGTCCATATCCACACACACACACACACTCACACACACACATTTCCACACACACTCATACACTCATGCTCGCTCTCCCTCTCTCTCTCTCCTCGTTCTTCTGTCTATCCTCCCTCGCTCGCCCGCTCTCTCAGCTCCTCTTTCCTCCGTCTGACAGCACTGAGCGAGCGAGAGAGAGAGAGAAGGGGGCGAGCGAGCAGTGCAGGAGAGAGCGAGAGATGAAGATGAGGAAGACTGGTGTGTGTGTGTGTGTGTGTGTGTGCTTGAGTCACTCGACAGAAAGAAGACATGAAGAGAGAGAGAGAGAGACACACAGAGGAAGAGTGAGGGGAGGGGGTGGTGGGGGTTGGGCTCCTGTTGCCATGGTGTTATGCAGCTGTTGCCCCGGCAATGCTGCTGCAGCTGTTGCTAAGTAACAGCAACGGGTGTTTCTATGTGGATTATAAGAGTGTGTGTGTGTGTGTGTGTGTATTCGTACCTGTACAGGTGTGTGTGGTTGGTCCGTCGTCTGGTTCTCACACACCGTCAGCTCGTAAAACTCCTGGATGTCTGCGCACACACACACAAACACACACAAACACACACGTCTGAGTGTGTCACGTGCAGTTCCTCTGGTGTCCAGCAGAGGCAGCAGTGAGTCAGTCCTCATGTTAAACATGTTTACAGCTGGATACACAGATGTTTCTGTGGATAATTTAAAGTTTGCATCATTGGGGGCGTGGCCTCTTTGACTGACAGGTGGATGTTGATAGTAGTGACTGTAGCTGCTAGCTGTTCGCTAGCTTCCCCTGAACTGAACCTCTGTAGCGAGTTTGTGCTGTTGGAGCATTAATAACATGACAAAGTTTAAATCTTTGACTTATGGAGCCAAAGTCATGTAAATGACAGAGAGGTGTCTGGATTTTGAGGAAAAAGATGGAAAGGTTCAGATTTTAAAGTAAGACTATGAGAGAAAAAGACATGATGGACAAACAGGCTGCGATTGGCTCACAGGAACAACTAACCAGCAGCGTTTCTTGGCTGTGATTGGTCAGAATATTATAAACAAACAAACAGAAGAAGAAAATGGGCCCATGATCAGCCCTCCCTGTGCAGCAGCGCCCCC